AATATCTTCGAGAAAAATGAAGATAAAGATAAGGAATTAAACATATGACATATCATATATTTGGACTGGGGTGAAATCTTAACAGGTCAGCATAAACAGCTATACTCACGTTCTTTGACGTTACAGGTTGGTCCTCAATCTACCAAACATCGTCTTCTTTGTCTGTGTAACCACCTTACATCGTTCGGTGGAGGACTATTGGTGGCACCAAACTCCATCGATATGGACACTGTATTCAAAGAGCTCAACCGCCTTGATGAGACTGGTAATTTTGGTGTTCTTCTTACAATCATCTTCGTCTTTTTGTTCTATATTATCGCTATCGTCCTCGCCAAGAGAGCAGACAGGAGAGATCAAGCCAAGGTAACGAGAAGCTCAAAAATCTTCAAAAACTTCTCTTTGTCTAGTTCAAATACTAGAGACCCCTTTCAGTTAATTCCAAATCTAGATGACAAAACAATGGTTATTTTCTACCCTGAGAGAACCAAACCTTTTAACTGCAAAACAATCTTATTGTTTGTCCTCCAGATTGAGAATTAACTGAAAGGGGTCTATACTTCGATCATTTGAGTGCTTAGAAAACTTCATCCGATGTATAAATATATTTTGTTTATCAGCAAAATTGTGAAATTAGCAGGTTCGCTTTCATCTATTTAATCAAAACGTGCGGCTCTTCCACCTCTTCCCTGATAGGATATTCCACAAAAAGACAGTGATCATGTATAGTAAACCCTTAAATACCTCCTACGTGTTCCTTTGTTTCAACTAGCTTGGTCCCAGGATTGCACTGGAAACAGACGGGAACCTAATTTCTCATCAGTATGAGGTTACAATCAGTACTGGTGTGTGGCCAGACAGTGGAACCACAGCCAAGATTACCATGGTGTTTTATGGCAGTTCTGGTAACAGTGGACCAATCACAGTATGTCGGGACCTTGATCCTCCACGAGTTCTCCTTTCCCGCGGCAGTGTTGAAAAGTACGTTATGTCTCTATCAACATCCCTTGGACCACTACACCACGCTTACATTTGGCATGACAATTCTGGAGAAAGTCCCTCTTGGTTTTTAGACTATGTTGTGGTTAGGAGCAAAGACAATGGTGAGGAGTGGAAATTTGGTTGTAACCAGTGGTTTTGTCCAGAGAGAGACGATGGGAAAATTGTTAGAAAACTATTAGTGAAAAGAACAAATTCCCTTCCTAAATTCCAAGAAGCTTTTAGATTAAAATTGTCTGGCACTCTTTATGAAAGTCATTTATGGATGTCGTCAGTTACCAAACGTCCGGGAAGCTCTTTTACTCGTGTACAACGTGTCACATGTTGTTTGTGCGTTGTACTCACGGCTATGCTTGCAAATGCAATGTTTTTCAACTTGGGTGGTGAAAGTACAGTGAATACCATCAAAATTGGCCCATTAAAGGTTTCGATGAGACAAATCATAATAACATTACAGAGCTGTTTGATTATAGCTCCCATCAATTTTCTTATCGTTGCAATGTTCAAGAACTCAAAGCCAACTGTCGGCAGGTGTTGTGGCAAGGTATATAGAGTAACAGAAGAACAGGGTTCAGATGATGATGACAAACCCTTACACCACGTCTTTGTCTACGTTG